CTCTCTGATAAAATGAATGTCCACCTCTATATGTTTAGTCCTTTCGTGAAGAACATAATCTGAAGTAAGCATAATGGCTGACTTATTATCACATAACAAGTCTGAGGACTATTTTTCACCTAGCCCTAGCTCCTCTAAGAAAGATCGAAGCCATAGAATCTCACAGGTACCCTGAGCCATGGCACGATACTCAGCCTCTGCTAAAGATCTCGAAACTACATGTTGCTTCTTACTTTTCCAGAATATAAGATGGTCTTCATAGAAAGTATATAAGCCAGATGTGGAACGTTTGTCAGTCTTGGACCTAGCATAGTCTGCATTACTAAAACAGGATAGCCCAACCTGCCTGCTAGAAAAATAGAATAATCCCAGTCCAGGACAGGACTTAAGATATCGAAGAATATGATATACCGCATCCATATGAGTTGTACGAGGAACATGCATAAACTGGCTTACAACACTAACCGCAAAAGCCAAATCAGACGGGTGTTGGTAAGATAAATCAATCTTCCTACCAAGCATTGATACTGCTAGGGATCAAAACGGAGATCTCCAGACTCAGCCGAGATCTTCAGATTAGGATCCATGGGAGTGGAAGCAGGTTTACACCCAAGGATACCCGTGTCTCGAAGAAGATCCAAGTCATACTTCCTTTGCGATAAAGAGTTACCCTGCTTAGATCTAGCAAGTAACCTCAATTCCCGAGAAATATCTGAGCTGCCCAAGGTCTTTCACATGAAAAGCTTTAGCTAATTAAAGCTTAAAGCAATCCCAGGGATGTCATTCCCAATAATGAGGATATCATCAACATAAACAAGAAGAATGATACATCGACCAGTGGAGGAATGGTGGATAAAACATGTATGATCAGAATGGCATCTAACAAACTCCATGGATAGAATTACGTCATTGTTTTAATCCATACAAAGACTTCTGCAATCAACATACCTTTCAAGCATACTCCCCCTCAACCCGAAAACCAGGTGGAGGATCCATGTAAATAGTCTTAAGAAGATCACCATTAATGAAAGCATTCTTCACATCAAGTTGATGAAGAAGCCAATTGTGAGAGGCAACCAGGGAGACAAGCAAACGAACTGAGGTCAATTTAGCCACTGGAGCGAAGGTATCATTAAAGTCTTTACCAGGAATCTGAGTAAACCCTTTGGCCACCAAATGGGCCTTATATTGATCAATACAGCCATCAGCCAGATATTTAACACTGAATACCCATTTGCAACCAATAGTCTTTTCACCTGGAGGGAGAGATACAAGCTCCCATGTTTCAGTATGCTGCAAAGCATCAATTTCTACCTTCATAGCAGACATCCAATTGGGATTCCGGAGAGCCTCAGACACATTTCTGGGAATGTAAATGGAAATGGAAATGGAATCAAGTTTGCCTAGAAAGGCTCGGTAAGACACTGAAAGACCATCATAAGAGATATATTGCAAAATAGGATGATCAATACTACAAGCGAATGCAAATCCAAATTGAGCAGGGGTTTGCGGTTCCGAGTGGGATACTGAGACTCAAGAACAGGGTCAGGGAAATGTATAGGAGAGAGATGAGATGTACCTGAATCTGAATCTGAGGAGGATGAAGGCAATGGAGGTGGAGCACGAGGGCAACGAGAATAGACCTGCAAAGGGGGCGAGGAAACCACAAGAGAAGACTCTATTGAAAAATAGGAAGAGGACGAGCAAGAGGAGAAGCGTTTTGATCGAGAGTAGAAGTTTCCTACAAGATAGTGTTAAAACCATAAAAAGGGGTATGCTCATGAAAGGTAACATCAAGAGTGATCATGTGTTTGTGTATAGGATCATAACACCGGTAACCTTTTGACATGGAAGAGAATCCTAAAAAGATACATTTAATGGCCTTGTCATCAAGTTTAATACGAGAAGGGCTATGATTCTGAACAAAACATATACATCCAAACTCTCGAGGCATGATGGAAAAAGAGTAATATCAGGCTGAAGCACTTGTAAGGGGGCCTTACCATTTAAGATTCTACTGGGGGTATGATTAATGAGAAAAGTAGCTGTAAGAACCGCCATATGCCAGTATGACACTGGCACATTCATACCACTTAAAAGACATTGAACAACTGACATTAGTTGGTGGTTTTTCCGCTCTACCACACTATTCTATTCAGGGGTATATGGACAAGTAAGCTGATGAAGAATACTCTGTTGGTTAAGTTGAGACCGAAACTCATTGGAAACATATTCACGACTATTATCAGAACTAATATTCCTACCAACAGTTTTATATTGAGTTCTGATCATTTGGACGAATTGAGTGAACAAAGGAAAAACTTAGTTCTAATAATGTAAATATACCCATGTGCAGCGGGAATAATCATCAATGAATGTGACATAATAACGATGCCCCGAAAAAGCAATAACAAGAGAAGGACCTGACACATCAGAATGTATGAGATCAAACATACTAGGTGCATGATGCATATGAGAAATATAATTGGTTCTAGTATGTTTAGAAAGTTCACAAATCTCATATTGAAACTTATTATCCTTACAAGCCATTATTAATGAAGGGAAAAGCAGACATAAATACTGAAAGTTTACATGCCCAAAGCGAGCATGCCATAAAATTAAGTCTGAAAAGAAAAATCATAACACCTAGAAACTGAAAGAACAAAGGCTTGAAGGCTTGAAGGCTTGAAGCAAGTGGAGGAGGTGTCAATGGAAGATCCCTAAAGTAGTAGAGGCCATCGTGCTCATATTCCCTGCCAAAAATCCTCTTTGAACACAAGTCGTGTAAAACACAATAATGAGGAAAGAAAATTACTACTCAGTTTAGTGATTTGGCAAGTTTGCTAACAGATAGAAGATTAAATGCAAAGTTAGGAACATAAAGAACATGTGGCAAAATAATATCAGGGGATAGATGAACATTTCCTTTACTACGAATATTGGTGGTTGGCCCATCGGCTAGACTAACAGAACAGGGGTAATGGGAGTAAAAAATAATGACAACTTACCAGTCGTGTGATCATTAGCTCCGGAATCTAGAATCCAAGTAGGCTTTCCCGCTTTAACATGAAAAGCAGGAGTACCTGTAGCTATAGTAGCCGTGGAAGTAGCAGAGCCAGCCCTGGTAGATAAAGCTCCGAACTGTTCCTGAAGCTGACCAATCTGGGATTGTAATTGATTGAAGTCCTGAAAAGAAGGTCTGGGAGGAGTTGAAGCAAGAGGGATAACAATCTGTGGAGTAGTATACCCACCAATAGTATCGGCTCCTACGGCAGTGTGGCCACCGTAAGGACGATTGCGAGAAAACTTCTACTTTAGCTCGGGATGAAGCTTAAAGCAGCGATCCTTTACATGACCCGTGGCTCCACAATATTGACTAATAACCTTTCCCTCTGAAAGTCTAGAATTAGCAGAAAGAGCTATGTGATCAACTGGAGTTTCTGGTAAAGCTACTGGCTGAGATTTGACGTCTATGCTCCTCATGGTCAACAGTAACGAAAGCATCATATAAATTAGGATAGGAGAGGTGTTTATGATCTTAAGTTCTAAGAGCATCATACTCAGATCATAAACCCATCAAGGTAGGTATGCTGGTGGTCTCTTAACCAAAAGAGTTGCAGCTTCTTCAGAGAAATTGGGGAGAGGTTCTTATTGTGCTAATTCTTCCCACCTAGAGTGGAGGTACCCAAAATACTCTGATACTGACAACTTGAGTGTCCCCTGAGATGCATGAGAAATCTCGAGAAAGATCAAAGATACGAGCGTCATTGCGGGAGTGGGCATACATCTTGTTAAGGGATTGCCATAGATGAAAAACAGAAGTGTGAAACATGAACATCTTAAAGATACGCTCTTCCATTGAGTTGAAGATCTAACCCATAATGGTGCATCTGCCCATGTCCCATGCAATATATTTAGTATCCGTCAGAGTTGAAGAGAGCGGGAGCACATTAGTAACCCTCTACGACGGAGTATGCTGTGCCGAAGATATAGTGTCCTTTTGGCTACTAGAATCACTCATAACACCAAAATAAGGTTGGTCCACACGTCAAAGAGGGAGGAAAGAGAAAAACAAGACCGGGAAAATCGGTGCTTTCCTCCAAATATGATGACGAACAAACACCGGCAGCTCACAAAGGAGAAAAAAAAAAAACACCAAGAGGACCCTTAGGTCATAAACAACCTAAGGGAATTATCCTAAAAAAGGAGTTAAAAACAGAGGGTTACCCCTCGTTGAAGTTCTCCATTCTTAGCACTCTTTTCTGTTGGGTTCTAGGAAGAAATTGTAAATCCTCGGATGAACTTGTAGAGTTTTTGGATTTGTTGAGGGTTTAGAAGCCCTTTTTGGCTTTTCATTCTTTTTTAGGGTTGTGTTCCCCTTTTGAACGCTTTTAATGAATTCTTACTTATAAAAAAAACAAATAGAAATAAGATCTATAAGAGGCATTTCATTACATAAATGACAGCATACATTAGTGTCAACAAAACTATTTTCCATGGTTTCTTCCTTAGTCTTTCCCACTGTGACCATTTTGATTCTATGTATCTCATCACAAGTTTAACTTGGTTCTTATACCCACTTTTTCCTTATTAATTGAAAGTATACCATTTGTGAAAACTTAACATACACCACTTAATATTCCTTTGATGCAGCCTTTCATCTTCATGTTTTCCATGCTAGTCATAACTCCATCACATATATCTTAAATTCTTAATTGGTTCTTCTCTGCTACTATAAGTGAAACCTGGCTGGCTTTGAGGACCACAAAAGGTCACCCATCTGCACAACTGAGCACGTCAGTGAATGACTATTCTTTTAGTGACACAACTGTGACAAGAAGGTGTGATCAAATAAAGGACTCGAGTGATTAGGCAATTAAGTTTGTAAATGAAGCATAATTTTCATTAATGGCCGTTAGCTTTTAGATTGTTGACTGGAGTAGCAGTGGCCCTATTATCGCCCACTAGGCATAATGCACTTTTCTGCACTTGCATTGCAGATTCAGACTGTTGCTAAAACTGCTGGTATGCATCGGAATGAGTGGGTGGAAAATGCTGATCGCTGGGTCGCTGGTTTCCTTGAGATGTTTGAAGAAGGTTGCCATAAAATGGTGAGCAGCTGTGTATAAATAGCACACACACACACACACACACACATGTATATTGATACATATGATTTTAGGATTTTTTATTATTATTTATAGTTGGTGTTGTATTAAAGATGGATTATAATTGGTGTTGTATGATTCTAGGATTACAACTTATATATTTTCCTTTTCTCCACTCTCGTCATTTCACAATATGTTTATCAGGGGACAGCCATCAGGGACCGAATTCAGGAGCGGTTAAGGGGGCAGCAGTCAACATATATGCTGCAAAATGGCAATGATAATGATGATGAAGAAGAATTCTACGATGATGACGATGATTATGATGATGAATATGATGATGATGAATATTATGAGGAAGAATACCATGACCAGGAAGAGAAGAAGTGAACTTGTATTTACCGAAAAAAGAAGTGAACATGTAACCATGCTCACCGTTTCGTAGTATCTACAGCAAGCTGACTGCTGATACTTGTTTGTGGGATTTAGGGTAAGTACTAGAGTTGCTTTGGGAGGTGATTTTGGTTGATGTCATTGCCGGAGGGAGTTTGGACTTGAGTTGGAACTTTTACTTTTGATGGTATATTTTATTTTCTATGTCTCTCTTTACGGTTGTTTGAATCGTGTTTATTGTAATAGGAATACATGAAAATGCTATTGTGTTTTGAAGCAAGTAAAATAACTTAAAGTAGCACTGTGTAGATTTATATATATATATATATGTATGTATATATATATATATTATCTTTTTCTTTGTTTAAAGAAAATTGTATTGATGAAAAGAGAACAAGAGCCCACACAAGGCCCAAAGGGAGTGCCCAGAAGCCAGAGGCCAAAGCAGTGTGAAGACTTGTGTAAGGATGTGTACATTTGTCTCTCAACGCAAATATGTATTGCCTTGAAGCAACTGTTGGATAAAATTGTTCACTTAAATTGATTTTTCTTCTCTCTTTTGATTTCCTCCTTTTGTGCAAGTACTAATGCTTTGAACCCGTGAATGGATTCCAGTTATAATCCTAACCTGACTCGAATAATGATTAAAGTTGAGGTTAATACGCTTTTGATTTCCTTGTCTTTTAGCCAAGTATCTTTTTTGTCATTGACTACTTGTGTTTTGGTTTTAGTTTTAAGTAGTCAATTAGTGAAAAATACCATTTTCTGTGCCCAAGGTTTTTTACCAGTGGTAACATTTTTTTTTTCCTTGTCAATATGTACCGAGTAATAAAATAACATATTCTTGAACAAATCTGAAATCTCATTTGATGATGAGCTAGAAATCCTCATTTTTGTCATTCATATTTTTAAGGGTAAACTATAATGATTTCCCCCCGTTTGTTATTTATTTTTATTATAAAGATCCCCTATGTCACAATTTGTTATAAATTTACTTATTTACCCTCTTTATTATATTGTCAAAAATGTTAAAATATCTGAGAATGTCAAATGGCTATTTTGCCCCCCACATAATTCTTACACAAACCAAAAAAAATTGCTAACTGTTCATAGATATATATATATATATATATATATATTGACGGAAATAATAATATATAATGATTCCGTTACCTTAATAATTCGAATACCAGAAGCACAAGATCTGAAAGCTTGTGTTACGAGCTGTCCCAAAAGCCATTGATCAGTGAAATTCTTTTGCAAACTAACGAAGTTGCTGACCATCTTATATATATATATATATATATATATATATATATATATATATATATATATATATATATATATATATTGACGGAAATAATAATATATAATGATTCCATTACCTCAATAATTCGAATACCGGAAGCACAAGATCTGAAAGCTTGTGTTACGAGCTGTCCCAAAAGCCATTGATCAGTGAAATTCTTTTGCAAACTGACGAAGTTGTTGACCATCTTACTCGTCAATTAAGCGGCTACCAGAGTCCTCTATATCTTTTCCACAATCCAAATCCTAGGGTTGATGGCTACCAGATACAAATAATGTTGAGAGAAAGTAAAACGGGGAAACTTCAAACCCTTTTCTTTTACATCTAATCGCATATATCAGAATTATATAATCAATGTAATTCAATTTGATTTTCATGATTATACCAACCTATGGATGTGATAAGATTCTGTTATCTTATCACTCCGTTATATTTTGAATTCTAAATTTAAAATTCAAATAATGTGGATGCTCCATGGGTTGTGGGTTTGGGACAAACCCAATCCATACTCTAACATCTCTCACTCATCCACATATCTCTTATCTCCCACTCTTCTACGTATCTCTTATCTACATATAAGAAGTAGATCGTGCGACCGAACGAGAAAGATTAGGGTAGGAGTACTATATTATGTTACCATCAAACTAACATAGTACCTCATTATAAACAAGTAATCTTGTCTACACCCTAAACCATTCTGCTACACCAGATTCAGCACCCTCCATCCCTCTCGAGACTCTTCTCAAAGCAATGCTTGAATCCCAGAATCTGTATTGTACTCATAACCATATCAGTAAACACAATTCTGATATGGTCGCCCGGGCAATGAGTCACAAAACTATAGTGTATGACAGAATTATCTTCCTTAACTACTCACGTTAATCCAATTGGACTTAAATTCTTTCCTAGATATGCCTCGCATCAATCATGATCCTTTAGGTACATACTAAAGTAGTGACATTAGGTATTTTCTTCATAACATAGTCCTAGGTCATAAGAGCATAAGTGGAACCAAAACAATATGGTTCACAGAGCTCACACAGTGATAAAACAGAGATGCATCTAGTCACTCTCTATTAATGGTCAAATAAATAGCACATACAGTATGTTATGTATGCTACGATGAAGCTCCCACTTAATTGGGCAAGTCAAGCTTATAAAATGTCATACGAATCTTAGTCTAGATGTTATCTCATCGTCTAACCCGAAACCTCCAACATAATCACTCTCTCAGTGCCTGTTTGAATGTTCGCATTCGGCTATCTTTAGGCTGCATGAAGTATATAGCTTACTACATTCATGTTCGGTTCTTATAAGAACCTCATCTTGACCTTGTCAAGGCGACATATATCTCAAAATAAATTCTCCCACTCACTAAGAATTCCATATCTCATCTTACTCGCTATTTAAGCGCCAATGTGATTGCTCGTGTGAGAGAGCCAATCTAATCCTGATGACATTTTTCAAGAAATATATGCTTACACAATAAAACAATCATCTCAATATGAACATAAAATAATTTATTGATGAAAGAAATCATGTGGTGTCCAGTACATCAATTCCTAAGTAAACCCAGACTCTTAACATAGGATGTAAAAACATCTCTTGGGATGGGTTTTGTCAATGGGTCAGCCATTATACTGGCTGCGGATATATACTTTAGGATCACCACCCCTTGTGCAACTTTATCTCGAACGTTATGAAAACAAATGTCTATGTGTTTGGTCTTCCCATGATACTTAGGATCCTTTGCATATGTCAAAGCTGCCATATTATCACAATAAATGACTACAACATCTTGCCTGCACGGTGCTATATCAAAGCTCTTGAAGAATCTACTCAACCAAACTTCCTCCTGTACTACAAATGAACAAGCTACATACTTTAAATCCATTGTGGACAGTGATACACAAGGTTGTTTCTTACTATTCCAAGAAACAGCTCCTCCACAAAGTAGGAATGCATAAACTGAAGTGGATTTGAGATCATCCTTGTCGCCAGCCCAATCAGCATCACTATATCCTCTTAATCTTAAGTCCCCACCTCTATAACACAACATAAGATCAATGGTACCTTGAAGATAATGGAAGATCCTTTTTACTGCTTTCCAATGAGCAAGTCCAGGATTACTCTGGAATCAACTAACCAATCCAACTGCGAAGCTAATATTTAGTCGAGTACACAACATAACATACATCAAACTACCAATTGCATTCGCATAAGGTACTTTGGACATCTGTTTCCTTTCTTCATCTGTCTTAAGGCATTAACTAAGATGTAAGTCACATCCTTTTAAATAAAAATGTCAATGGGCTTGGAGTGATGCATTCGAAACCGCTCAAGTATTGACAAGGTCGATTGAATATGCCAAAATGTGTGAATGTGAGAGTGGTTCAAGGAAAGTCTTTTTGGTTAAATTTAAATTTATAAAAACCACTACTATTAACGTAGCAAGAGTGAGTAGGGATCATCCCAAGAGATTTGCAAGGTACTACGAAATTGAATTCGGGTTAGTAGGTCGAATGATCAAAGAGAGGCTTTGTTGGTTGAATTAAGCTATGATTCAATTAAAAACAATCTAAAGAGTGAGGTATAGAAAATGAGAGAGAAATCTTTGCGCATAGAGTTCACCGCTAAGCTTTACTTCACTAAACATTTAGCATTTGCCAATTTAGGGGGATTCTATGTTGTAAAACTAGTGTCTGTGTTATTAATTGAAATACTAAGCATGGATGACAAATTAAGCATAAATTGTCTAATCAATCTAGTGAGTAGCATAACCTATCAAACTAAGTCATTAACCATTCAATAAACCTACAATTAATACACACAAAAATCTAGAGAAATGTACTACTTATACTCATAAGCATGGATCATCAAACAACAAGAATGGATTGTTTACCTATCTAGGAATTTAAAGCAACTACACTATAATTATACGAATGACAAGGAAATTAAACTAATTAAGTTAAGGAGGTAGCACAATTCATCAAGAAATATGCATAATACATCAAAAAAACCACAAGAATAATCAATTAAGCACTATGCCGTGACCATCACTAGATTTATAATTCCAACACACACAGGCATGCATTGAACTCATAAAATCTAGTGTAAGCTAATGAGTGCTCAAATGTGACGCATTTTAACACCTAAGCGAGAGTATTTTAGTCCATTCATCTATCTTTATTTTCCGATTTTAGTACTTATTTATGTTTTTGCCTATTTCAGGTCAATAAAGTTCAAACAGGCTAAGAAGAACCATTTAGCTCATATTTTGAGTTAAGGAACAAATCTGAAAAGAAGTCAGAAAATTGCACCAGTGAAGCTTCGATCGATCGAAGGAAGTCCCGATCGATCGAAGGAAGTCCCTATCGATCAAAGAAGGCTACAATCGATCGAGATCAAGGCGGTGCCAGCTTAGCAATCCTGATAATGCCAAGAAGATATTTTCATGCCACTTCATCGATCGATCGAGGTATTGTTCGATCGATCGAGAATACGCTGGCAGAGAGCTGTTTTATTCCCGCGTTGGCCTGAACTTCGCCTACCACATAGGATGCAAGATTGGACCAATTAGAAGCCTTATTTCTGACTTGTTCACTACTCCAAGGAGTTGGTATTAAAAGGGAATTGAAACATTTTGTAAATGAGCTTTTTATCATTTTATTTTTACATTGTAATAACTATTTTCTCTCTCTAGAAAAGTTAGAGATTAGGGTTAGAAGAAAAGAGAAGAGTGGAGGCTCCAAGAACACATCTCAACATCTACACACTCTCTCTCTTTAGAATCAATAAAGAAGAAAAGAAAGAAGATTGAGCCATGTTTGGGGATTGCCCTTAAGGGTTCCAAGATCACACCCACCTCCTCCATGATTGGCTAGACTTCTCCTTGGGGCTTGGATGAGCCCCAAGTTTGTAATCTAAACCTCTATCTTTTTCATACTTTTTGGGGAATAATATCTTGTGATTAGTGTTTTAGCCTTGTG